ATTGTTCCAGAACTATAAACAGGAGTGGTGATAGTGGACATCCTTGTTTTGTTTCTGATTTTAGCGTGAAGGATTTCAGGTTTTGCCCATTTAGTATAATGTTGGCTGTTGGTTTTTCATAGATGGCTTTTATCAGATTGAGATAAAGACCATCTATTCTAATTTTCTGTAGGGTTTTTATCATGAGTGGGTGTTGAATTTTGTCAAATACTTTTTCTGCATCTATTGAGATGATCATATGGTTTTTGTCCTTGGCTCTGTTAATATAGTGTATTACATTTATTGATTTGCATATGTTGAACTAGCCCTGCATCTCTGGGATGAATCCCACTTGATCAGGGTGTATGATCTTCTTGATGATCTTCTGCATTCTGTCTACCAGTATCTTATTGAGGATTTCTGCATTTATGCTCACTATGGAGATTGGCCTATAGTTCTCTTTTTCAGTTGGATCTTTATCCTTTGGGGATAGAGGTGATGCTTGCTGCCAGCAATGAATTTGGAAGTATTGCTTCTCTTCCAATTTTATTGAAGAGTTTAAATAGTAGTGGCAATAGTTCTCCAAATGTCTTGTAGAATTCAGCAGTGAAGCCATCAGGATTCAGGCTTATCTTAGTTGGTAAGTTTTTAATTATGTTTTCAATTTCATTGATTTATTTTGGGTTGTTTAGAATTTTTAGTTCTTCTTCATTCAACTTTGGTAATTCTTGCGTATCTAGGAATCTGTCCGTTTCTTCTGTGTTTTCCATCTTTTTGGCGTATAGGTTCTCAAATTAGGTATTGATGATCCGCTGGATTTCTGCTAGATTCATTGTAATTTCACCATTTCCATTCCTAATTGCATGGATTTAGGTCTTTTCTTTCCTTTTTCTGATAAGGTTGGCTAAGGGTTTCTCGATTTTGTTTATTCTTTTGAAGAACCAACTCTTGGCATCATTGATTTTTTGTATCATTCTCTTAGCCTTTATTGCATTGATTTTTGCTCTGATCTTTATAATTTCCTCCCTTGTATGAGCTTTGGGTTTATCCTGCTCTTCTTTTTCTAGAAGCTTGAGATTCAGCATTAGCTTGTTTACTTGAGCTCTGTCTGTTTTCCTGAGTATTCACTGCTAGGAATTTCCCTCTTCAAACTACTTTTATTGTGTCCCACAGATTCCAATATGTTGTATTGGCATTGTCATTTAATTGTAGAAACTGTCTGATTTCTTCTTTAATTTCCTCTGTGACCCATTGGTTATTCAAAAGTGTGTCGTTCAATTTCCATGTGTTTATGAAATTCTTGCGGTTTCTTTTGCTATTGATCTCCAATTTCATTGCACTATGGTCTGATAATATAGAGGGGATAACTTCAATTCCTTTGCAATTACTTAAACATGTTCTATGAGCAAGTATGTGGTCTACTTTGGAGAACGACCCATGTACAGCTGAAAAGAATGCATATTCTAATTTTTTGGAGTGGGATACTCTGTAAACATCTGGTAAGTCCATTTGTTCAAGAGTTTGATTGAGTTCTAGTATTTAATTGTTGATTTTTTGTCTAGTTGATCTATTTGTGACAGTGGGGTATTGAGGTCTCCCACTACTATTGTATTAGCGCTTATTTGATTTGTCATATCCGTTAGTATTTGTTTTATATAATTGGGTGCACTAGTATTTGGTGCATATATATTTATGATTGTCATCTCGTCCTCTTAGATTGTTCCCTTTGCAAAGTTGTAATGGCCTTCTTTGTCTCTCTTAATTAGTGTTGGTTTGAAATCCATTTGATCTATGAAGAGAGTAGCTACTCCTACTTTTTTTCAGGTTCCTGTCACATGGAGTATTGTTTTCCACCCTTTAACTCTCAGTCTGTAAGTTTATTTTTGAATATAGTGTTTCTTGTATGCAGCATGTTGTTGGATCTTGCTTCTTGACTCATTCTGCCAGTCTATTTCTTTTGGTAGGTGAATTGAGACCATTAACATTAATGGTTATAAATGATATGCATTTATGTATCCTTGTCATGACCTTTTCCTGTTTTTGGGTTCTCCCCCTTTGCATTTAATTTCTTGTCATCCCTGCTGGATTCATTCTGTTGGCCTTCATGGGGTTGTGACCCTCATTGTCTTTTTCTAGGATATTGTTTAAAATTCTTTGGTGTGCTGGTTTGGCATTTATGAAGTTCCTAAGCTGTGTTCTTTGTCATGAACAAATCCTATTTCTCCATCAATTTTGAAAGACAGTTTTGCAGGGTACATCAATCTGGGTTGGAGGTTGTTTTCTTTAGGGCTTGAAATACTTCTCTCCAGGCTCTTCTTGACTTGGGGGTTTGTGTTGAGAAGTCTGGTGTTATTCTGATGGGCTTTCCTTTATATATGATTTGTTTCTTTTCTCTAATTGCTTGTAGTATTTTGTTTTTCTGTTGGGTTTTTACAATCTTGACTATTATATGACTAGGTATGAATTTTTTTTTAATCACAGCTAGCTGGAGCCCTATATGCCTCACTAATCTGTATTTCAAGTTCTTTTCACCTGCTTTGGAAGTTTTCTGCCATTACTTCTGTGAATAGTTTTTTTTAATGCCATTTGTACTATCTCTTATTTCTTCATTGACTCCAATCAGTCTTATGTTATTCTTCTTTGCATCATTAAGCCACTGCTGAATCAATTCCTTGTGGTCCTTTGCTATTTTTAAGAAGTCTTTCTTTTCCTGGTCAATAATCTATATCTGATATTCTGTCCTTACATTGGCTCATTCTGCTACATCAACTTTCAATGGAGTTTTTAATCTCCTGCACATCTGTTTGCATCTATTTTATAGATTTCATTTATTTCCTATGCTGGGAGTCCATCATGTTCCTCGGCTTCTCTATTTATTTTTTTTAATCTGTGTCTGCTCTAGAGTTATAAATCATGTCTTTCACTATGGACACAATCTCTGTTGTTATCTGAGAAATTGTTTCTGATTTTATTTTTTTCAGATACCCTTTTGTTGCCAGTCTAGAGTCCAGGTGGTTGAGTTTCAGATTGTTCCATCTTGTTGCCCCTTGCAGTTGCCTTTGGTGATCTGGAAGTCTGGTTTTGAGTCTTGTTTAAGTGTCTTCTCATTTCAACTGCTACAGTCTGCTGTGCCTTTATTGCAGTGACTCTTTGCTCTCCATGTGAGCTTCAATTCTCAACAAGCCTCTGAGAGTCCTTCTCTCTGCTGCTCACCACTGCACCAATTCCTGGATTCAAAATGATTTTCTTCTGGATCCCCACAATGGGCTGTTGTCTCAGTGGGATTCTGGTTGGGGCCTACATACATTTATCAATGGTATCTGGGTGGGCCTTTGGCTGAGGCCTATATGCACTTACTGATCGGATCTGGGTGGGCCTCTTTCCTAGTTGCCCTTCTGATTCTGCCAACCTGTTACTTGTCAATTGGTGAGAATTTAAAATAACATCTGCAGTTATGGTCATCAGGTGAAGTGAAGTGTGCCACAGCTTTGACCTATTAACAGTATGTTGTAGGCTACTGAGCTAAACCACCAGGGTATATTTTAACCTAATAAGGATGGATCAGTTACATTCTCATTGCAAATCTGCACTTTACTTTCCCAAAGAATTTTGTGTACTTATGAAAAATCCATACATACACAAGAGGAAAGTTATATAACAAATCTCCATAGACCCATCACTCAGATTCAACAATTATGAAGATTTTACTGTACCTCCTTTAACTATCCATCTCTCCCACTTGCTTTTTTGGCTGAATTATTTAAAAATATACCCAGCCTCCATTTCCTTTTGCTTCTGTATTCTTCAGAATACATTCTTCTTTTGCATCACTAACATGTTTTCTAGCAAAGTCAATATGCCTTTATCATATCTAATCAAATTACTAATATTTTAATATTCAGTATGTATTAATTTTTTTCAGTTGTCTTAAAATACATTTTTTAAATTACAGTATTCAAATCAGGATCCAAATAAGATCCATTCATTACATTTGGTGGTTGTATCTAAAGGGATTTTAAAATTGTCATTGTCTGTTATCCTGCACAATATATTATGATTAGTTTGAAATAACTGTCTAAAATATAAACATTCCTTGTCAAAATTATCCAAAATAGAGAATTTCATTTGCTTTAGGAATTGAAGGTATTGCTATAGGCTTAGAGAAAACAGTGTTAACATCAATTTATTTGTGCAAAGGAACATTGTGTTTGCCTATATTTTCTCCAGTGTTTTTAGAATCTGCAATGTAAGATAATTGCTATTAGATAGATAGACACACCATTAGAGATAGAGAGATGAAATTAAAACCATGAAATTGTTTCTAGGGGTCTCTAGAAATGTAATTATCTCTCTTGTGGAAAAGAAACACAGAAAATTGCAGTCCTGTTTTCTGTTTGCCAATTGTGAAGAAAAGACTATTAAATTATTTCTAGTGTGTACATGTATTTAAAGGTTGATACCTCATGTTTTAGTAGATGGCTAAAATTTATGTTATTCACAAAAATTGCCTGATATTTAAAGAGCTTTCTCAATTTTACCTTGAACCTATTATATCAGTAACAACTCATAGAAATTGGCATGAATTGTCATACTATTCACAAATATTATTCCATTAGTTATCTATCACATAACCAATTTATGGAAATGTTGAGATCTAGCACCTGTGCTTTATTAAATGGAGCCTGAGGGACCTCCTGGTGGTAGGAGGCACTAAATAAAATATACCTCTGTATGTCCTTAAGTCACTATATCAGCAATTTCGTAAGACTTCAGAGTGGTGGCAATCCCCACTGCATGGAAGACATGTATATGTCATGAGGGCTATCTGGATCCAGATAATGGACAGAGATTTCTTTGCCCCTAAGACAGAACAGAAATCAAAACTGTTGGGGTTATGATGAGAGTGTTAGAGAAAGAATGTGACACCCGAACTCTCCATCAGACAGAAGAAAGTGGGGCACTGCCCCCGTTATTTCCATCAGTGATTGCTAAACTAAGAGTAGCAATAAGTGTTCACATACTGTCTGCCACTTGGCCTTTGATCGTTCTGCTTCAAATTTGGCAACTTCTTTACGGTCATGAAATGACACCAGCAGCTTCCAAATGCACAGAAGGACAACCCCGATGAGAAGAATAGCCAGTGAAACCCCCAACATGATCATGGGAATGTTTGGAGGTTTTGGGCAGTCTGTGGAAACAAATGAAATTGTGTCAAAAAGCTGAAACAGTCAACATTTTCATTTAGGAAAGACATTTTTGTTTTGCAGTTTTGGGAATTGAACTAATGGCCCTGCACATACAAGGCAAGTATGCTGCATTCCTAGCCCATGGGAAGACATGTCTGACGGGGTATTCCACTCATCCTTTTTCTACAGTAAAGGAATGTTGACATTATTTTGTCTTGCTGAAATTTTTAAAAAATACATTACTTGTGGAAGGATAGCTCTCTATCTCTTCAAAATAGAATAAAAGATTAAAAATTTTAATAATTCCAAGTAAATGAATATACAGTCAGCTCTCCATATTCTTGGGTTCTGCATGCTCAGGTTGAAAATATTGGGAAAAAATGTGTCTGTATTGAACACAGTCTCCCCTACAATGTTATCTTTTAGACGATAAATATAATCACTATTTACATAGAATTTACATTGTATGGTGTATTAAAAGTGATCTAGAGATGATTTAAAGTGTACAGTGGGATGTGTGTAGGTCACATGTGATACTACATCTTCTGTGTGAGGGCCTTGAGCATGCATAGATTTTGGTATCTTCAGGAGGGTCTTGGAACCAATCACCTGCAGATACTGAGGGATAACTGTACTTGATGACTGATTGAAAAAGAGTTAGAATCCAAAAAGGTGACCTTTGATGCATATGGAATATTTAAAGGACCATGAAAGAAGATTACATAATTTAATCAGTAAAGTTGTTTCTTCTGAAGACATGATAAAGTAGAAGTGGAATGTGTATGTGTGAGTGTGTGTGTGTTTGATGCATGCAACTACTTCTTCAAGGGTCTTTTTGAATCATGAGCAGTTTAGAAGACTGCAGTGATATCTTGGTTCACGAACTTAATTCTTCCCAGGATTCTAGTTGTAAACTGAATCAGACGAGAACGAAATCAAATTCCCTATAAAGTTAACATTGAACCTAACCACTGAATTTGATTTGATTCTTATCCAATTCAGTTGGCAACCAGAATTGTGGAAAGAATTAAGTCTGTGAGCCAAGGTACCGCTGTATATTAAAAATTATATAAAACTCATTCCCTGAAAAATTAATGCTTGCTGCTACTTCTTTTCTTAGAGGTAGAAGGGAATCATGGCTTTCTCTGTTTTATTTTGTTGAACCCTAATGCAAGGCTCTGATATCCCAGGAAGTTATTGGACAACAGTAGAGAGGATTAGGTTCAATTTCCACCTGATATACAGTACCTGTGTCCCTGACTTCATCTGTAAAACAAAGTTCAGTGTTCCTTCAACTTTCCTAATCATAGAAACAAGCCAGGGTACTCATGCTTCTTACTCCATAGCATCCCAGACACCTTTCCTGAGATTTCGATTCAGTAGGTCTTGGCCACAGATCTTTCATTACTGAAAGTATCCAAGGGAGTCTTATCTTAGGGAAGTTTGAGAAATTAGATGTTCTATATGATCTTCTCAACTTGAGGATTCTATGAAATGTTATTTTGACTCTATTAATAGTAGTAATATAATTTTGCCATTATATACTACCTTCCTTCGTTGACACCAGAAAGACTAATGATCCTTGCAATATGCTTAGGAGATGATACATTCCTAATGAAACATTGTAATTAAGCCCTCATGGAAAAAAGCTTACACAAAAATTATCATTAAACATCTGCATCTCTCTGCAAGAAGTGAGGTGAAATCTATGGTATCTAGGGAGAAAATGAATAATGCTTAGTATAGCCTCTTATTGCTCTTAGATATTTAATAAGGGGAGTTATACACATAGAACTAGTCATGCTTCTTTTCAGATCACATCTATAGCCAATCTGAATCTGAGGGGGACTTATGATTGCCTAAGAGCATGATACCTGGCCTTACACACTTTTTCTTTTTTTGGCAAAGAATTATGTAAGGAGATTATGTAGAAATAAGTAAAGTTGCTAATGATATACCTACTACAGCATAAAGATCTAAAGACTGTGTTCTCGCATAGGAAATGAAGCATGGCTGCCTCTAATAGGTTAGCACTATTTCTGAAGAGAAAGCAGCAGGCTATGTCAATGAGAATATGCACTGTATTGGTTATATCTTTGGCTAAGAAATGTCTGGGGTGGGGCATAGTATATTCCTGCAGAAAGCAAGATGAAATTTGCTAAGACCCTGTAGCCAGAAAATGAATTGGGAAGGCTCTCTAGTGGGGAAGGAAGGAGAAATAGGCATAGGTTGGCAGAGAAAATTATTTTAAGAACTTAAAGTCACGGAACATTTTTTTCAAGAAAAGATTTTGGCCCAAGTACCAGAGCAGCTATTACACAATAAAGATCTTCACTTTTCATACTCTCTTTCATTGATATTCAGACTGAAGGCAGATTTGTAGATTGAAAAAGAGGTCACTTCTATCACTGTGTATAATGTTGCCTGTCAGGTCTGGGTCAATGCTGCACTTAATGCTAAGGGTATCTAATGCTGCTTCTGGGTATCAGTGCTAAGTATCTGATGATGTTTTCCAGTCCAGGTTGGTAGCTCTACCATATGTGGATACTGAGCACTTGAAATGTAACTTTTCCAAATTCAATTGTGCTGGATAAGGGTAAAACAAACACTGATTTTGAACACTTTGGATGAAAAAAGTAAAATATCTCAATAATTTTTATATTAATTTTATATTAAAACAATAATATCTTGGAAAGAATGATAAATTTTATTTCATGTATATCCTTTACTTTTTAATGTGCTTCCTGGAAAATTTTAAATTACATATATGGTTCATATAATTGTCCTGGACAATGGTGATCTAACAACTTTTGCAATTCAGATGTTCACTGTGACCTCATAGCCAGTGGGAGGCAGTGTAGCACAGTGGTTCAGGGAGGTGGGTTCCAAACCAGACTGCTGGAGCTCCTCAACTAGCTCTGCCACTTAATTATTATAAGACTTAGCAAATTATTCATGTCTCTATGCCTCAGTTGCCTTCCCTGTAAACAATAATAGTAGTACCCACTTAGTATGGCTGTAGAGGCTATTGAATGCATTAATGCATGCAAAGCATGTGAAGTAACATCTGACATGTGGCATTAGTAAGGGCTCCATAATGAGAGCTGCTATTACATTATTATTAAAAGCACCATTGTTACAACAATGCACTCTTCTCCTTTTTTTTTTTTTTAAATCTCTAGGTAGCAAGGCCCTGGATCCTCCAGAGTGGAAGCTGCAGGTATAGAATCTACAGTAGGTGGCACCTTCCACCCAGGAAGCCTCCTTGGCTGTCATTCCTTGGCCCTGATATGACTCATCCTTTGAAAGTCCCTTCAGAAGTAAGCAGGAAGATGAACAAGTCCACAAGCACCATGATTTTTGTTTACAAATGAAACTCTAACCAAATATAAAACTACTTTTCACTCGCTCTTTTTGCAATTTACTTGCAATCAGTAACCTTCTGTTCCCCTTCTTCCTTTCTCATTTTTCCTGTTTTCTCTCCAAGTTCTGAACTTGAAGAATCCTCATGACGTGGGAGGGGGAGGACAACTGACTTGTGTGGGTGGGCACCCTGCCGGGCTTCTGGAAGAGCCAGACAACCCAGGAGCTAGGACATTTGTGGAGGAAGAGGCAGCAGTGGAGCTCAGGTGACTCCTGTGACGCCTCCGGCAGGTAATTTCTTTCTTCACTTTTCCTTACTACAAAAGCATAGGGATAAATAAAATACTGCAATAAAACAGGCATCATGGCAGCTGTGCATGCTCTAAAGGATGGCATGTTGATGTGCCGCTCAAATTGTGTGGAAAAGTAAAAGAATAGACAACAATTCAGTAATGAGAAGACATTCAGCAGCCCAAGGTCTGTTTCACAGAAAAAAAAAAAAATCAAACCAGCTAGATACAAAAGCCTCTGCATTAAAAAGAGGGTCTGCTCTGGAAATGTGGTTTTGTTGTTTGGGATGTGTTTTCCAGTAGAATCAATACTATATGGGATTACAGGATGATTTTGATTTCAAGATAACTTGCTAAACCCACTCTCATAGTCACAGATGGTTGGGAGTGTAGCTGAGGAATTTGACTTTATAAAGCAAATAATGAGGAGCAGTTTCTTTTGTATTATAAAATTATTTATCCTTATGTTTCCTTAACTAACGGCTACAAGATGCATTTTGTGTATGTATTTCAAAAAAATCAATTTACATGAGATTTTTCAAGGGAAGGCCTCCAGGAGCACTCTGCCCACCTGAGCTTCAAAACCAAGTTCTTAGTTATCCTCTCATTTCTTGGATTGTGTGACCTGCAGCTTTCTCTTGTGCTCTGCATGGAAATGTGATATTTTTCTGATCATGTTTTGTTGATTGGATTATGATGGTTTGAACTTATTTTTTGGTTCCATTGGTATTGATTTACTTTTTATGTTCTAAAGTGGTGCCAATTTGATAGCTTTGATTTCAAATTCAGGACTTACTATTTTTGTTTGTTTTTCATGATTTTATTAAGACACAACTGACAGCTAATAAACTACATACACATGAAAGTACAATTTGGTGAGTTTTGACAAACATTTACTAACCCTATGAAACTTTCAAAACCAAGCTTCACTGATTTACTTCCTGATAACACAGATTTATTTTCTTTTTCCCCCCTGTTTTATCAGCACATGAAATGGAAAACACCTCTGTGTCTTGTAGCCTGCACTTACTGCTGTCATCTATGCTAAAACTTAGGCTGCAGGCTTTTGGAAAGAGGAAGAGATGAGGGATAGAATCTGATGAGGTCTGATTTCATGCAGCTGTTATTTCTTCAAGAAAGTTTTAAGGGAGAACACAACATTAATTGAAGACAGTAGATGTGAGACCCATTTCTGAGAATGCAGCCAGAGTTGTTAGGTCAGTCGCTCAAAGAGAGAATTTGGGACCGTCTGTGCCAAGGTCAGGTCATTATAATGCAGAGTCCTGGGCCACACATTAGTCCTGCTAACACCAGATACAGGCATTTTTAACAAGCTTCCAGGAGAATCTGATAACCACTACATTTGAAAACTTCTTAACAAAAGTACATCCTCTGCTACTTCCTTTTATAGCTAATATAAACTTGTCTCTTCCCTTTGCTGAATATTCCCCAAATCCCTAACTGACTGCAGGCACTGATGTGAATGAAAATGCACAGAAAGAATGAGCTCTAGGAAATTCTTTATAGAGGGCATCCTTCCTCACTGGCTGCTCCGCATCTTTTCTGATTCAGCATTATTTAATGACTGGTTGCTGTGAGTTAGGTGACACCATACCCATTATTCCACTCACTCCTTGAGTCAGCTTGGAGAAGAAAGTACCATTTCCTCCCCATTTTACAGATGAGAGATAGAGACTCTGAAAGGCAAGTATCTTCCAGAGTGTGGAGCAGTTATTAAGGGGCAGAGCAATATTTGAACCAGTTTGTGTAATTTAATCTCATTTTTAAAATTGGCTACACTCCTCCCTGTTAGCTTTACCAAGACATGCCTTTTGCTTACATTTGGGTTTATCAGTTCCCTTTTCTACAGTTCAGCAGCCACCTTTCAGAGAGATGAAGGGGGGAAGATACAAGTCACTGTTTTTTCTGGCCTCAAAGACATTGGAACACAGAAAACCTTTTGAAGAGTATCTTTAATCCCTGGGAAAGTAGAAGCACTCCATTAAAAATTTGGAAATGTCTATTTTGGCAAACTACCTAAAGTGATTTTCTAAATATTTTCTTCAATATAGTATTACTTGCCAGTGACAATGGAAGGCAAGCCACCCACCTTTTTCATTGATGCTGTGAATGATGGTGCTCCCCTTGTTATCTGTACTTATTAGGAATGTTATAAGACATTCATTTTCTCCCTGCAGGGAGCAGGAAACAGTACTATCCTTTGAGAAATCTGCAGATAAAAGAGTCATTCATTAGGTCAATTAGACTCAAAAGAGATTATTTTAAAAACAGAGTAGAATTGAGTTTTAATATGCAAATTAGAATTTTCAGTATTACAGAATGGGAATCAAAAAGGCATAGAATTTTTCCTACCGAGTGAGATTATTATTTTCATTCACATTTCAGAAGAACAGCTCCAGATGTGGTCAATCAGGACTGACCATCAAATGTACCTATCTAATTGCTGTGGGCAGGATTTCAATAGAGCAAACTGCCAATCAGGTGCCCACAGCTGCCTCGGGAATAGAATATCCCTGATTATGGTAATGGGGGGGGTGCTATGTGTTCCTCTCTGCTGAGAGCATCTGGGACGATGTCTAGATTACATTGCTGCTCAGTCCAAACTGGTATTGATACTTGTAAAGCGGGCTTTCTCACAATGGCATAGTTAGGATTGCTGGCCATGTATTGTCATAACAGTAAAAATAAATTAATTTCAGGAAGCAGAGATTGAAGCATTATGTAGCTGAGGGACAAGGTCGATAAAGGGAAACCTCAGATTAAAAGGAGTCCAGAATGACTATCTGTCATTCAGCATAGCTTTTCTTAATGAAAAAGTCTAGTTTTGCTAAAATCTTTTCCAAATAATTTTTTTTCTTGTTATGCTTCTTCAAGAGGCAGAGAATGAACATCATGACAGACACTGAAAACAAAGTAAAGGGCCAATCTGAGATCTATTTATCAGAAATTCTAGTGGTTCTGCTTCTCTGCCAAAATTATGTTATTTTCTTAATTAAATAAAACAAAACAAAACAAAACTCCTTGATAGTTCCCCTCTTTTCTAAGTTGAAAAATCTTCAGTGATACTAGTACAAGCAATGTTTTTCAGAAATGAGTGAGGAGAATGACCATTTACTCTTAATACAAACTCAATATAGATTATTTGATTCAATATTTGTGTGCTTTGAGGCAGTGTTTCAGAGTACTAAGAATGAGATTATCCAAGATAATCTTGGATATACTCTTCCTAGACTTCATACCTCCATTATCAGCTTAAAAATAATGTGTTAATAAAACAGAATCCATGTGTGTTTCTTTCCTTGCAAAGAAAAATTAAGTAATAACCTATTTGGGGTACACAAGTACTACGGCTATAGAAAAAGAAATATTAAGTTGTCATTGCTCTTTGTCTTTGCATTTAATTTATAAGACAAAAACCTGACAGGGTCTGTAAGAAGTGTGCCTATATTACTCATGAAGATGAGAACCTAGTAAAACATTTGGCATTATAAATAAGATTTCAGACAATAGATTTAAGGGAATGAACTCTTAACTCATTAGAATCATCTATGTGTTTATAAAGGCATTTTGAGAAATCTAATTACAAATCATTCTAGTCTGGTCCTTTCCAAATGTTTATAACCATCTGAATCACCTGAGTTGGAAAATATGGATTCTGGGGTAAAATTATGAAATATGGATTCTTGATGTGAAAAGCCAGTGGTGAGCACAGGACTGTGAACTTTTAGTGAGTGATTTAATAAGCATCTTAATAAAATTATTATTATTATTTTTTGGTACCAGGGATCGAACTTGGGACCTTGCAAGGCAGGTGACAGTGAGCTAAATCCCCAGCTCAGTAAAATGATTGTTGATAACACTTGATTAGTGAAATTTGTGTTATTTCATGCGTTAGATTGCAAATGGCACTGCATATACAGTTCATACTTTGGTCACTTTTAGATGGTCTTCACTATACCTTGCCTACCTTACTACTCTTATTAACTAAGAGACATGAAGTCTTTCCTTCCTCCCTCCCTCTCTTCCCTCTTCCCTCCCCTCCCCTTCCCTTCCCCTCCCTTCTCTTCCCTTCCCTTTTCTTCCCTTCCTTCCTTCCTTCCTTCCTTCCTTCTTTCCTTCTTTCCCCTTCTCAGTATAGGTTCTCTCTGCTCACTTGACTATACTTAATGAAACATTTTGTTCTCAAGTAAAAAACATGTGGCTAGCCTATCACACTCATTTCAGTAATATTACTCATGTTTTATTTTTCTAAATGGCTGTACTGAAGCACAGGGAGGCTTACTTTTGTTGGCTAGGATTATTTAAGTTTTAATGCAATTGCAAGAGTGACCTTTGAGTAGAGACTACAGTCTTGCTTTAATCACTTCACCACTTCTTCCTATTACAGCTCTAGATGTAGCCTGTTTTATAGTGCTTGGGTATTGAAATAGTATTATCAAAGGGGCATTGAAAGATTTGCATGATTAACTACTAAGGTTTTCTCCTGTTCGTCATAAAAAATGGACATTTCTTTTTTACCCTCCTTTGTGAGTGCTCCCATTGTTGCTCTGGAGTAACAGTGAATAATATCTCAAGTGGTCCATAAAATCATACTTAGAGAAGGAAGAAATGTAGAAAGAGGAAATTTCCCAGAAATGTGATGTCTGGGAAGGGCCAGGAAGGGTGTGGAAAATATAAACCATCTGCCCAGTTGAGTTGAGAGAACCATGAGGTTTAAGATACCAGTTCCGGGGTCAGTTAGAAGATCTCAAAGAAAACAATTTTCCAAGCAGATAATAAAGGTTTCTATGGTCTAGCAAGTATGACAATCCTTCCTGTATTCTAGTTCCTTCAGCTTCTTCCCTTTCCCCTACTGGTGATTCACATGCTCATTTAATCTAATGTGCTTAAAAACTCTCAAGTCTTGCGAGGAAAACCCATTAACAAAATTTATATGATGGTAGGTGCTTTTTTCCATTTGATGCCTTCAGAACTAGTGTTCCATAGAATGTGTTTTGTTACCAATGCACTGAGCACATGAATGCTGGGGTAATCAAAAACATGACTCAGTAAAATGGAATGTATAAGGTTAAATCACATTTTTAGATGTGCTCACCCAAGTCACCCACAGCACAAATTAGGATCAGTTCATATGAATTATAAATGTATTTTATTTCACTCTTTGTGTCCTCACTGGGGGGTGGGTGGGTTTGTTAAAAGACCCTGTAGAAGAGGAAATATGATGTGACTATTTCAAAGTAGTATGAGCAATAAAATATGTGGATGAATAATTCCAAACAGGCTCATTAGAAAAGTGCCTCTGTCCTGCACCCCAAGTAATCCCAGTACTCTGGGAGGCTGGGGCAGGAGGATCCAACTTTGAGCTCAGCTGGGCCACTTAATGACTTAGTGAGACCTGGCCTCAAAATAAAAATAAAAATAAAAATAACTGGGGGAGTGTAGTTCAGTGTGAAGGCCTGGCAATCCCCAGTACTTAAAAGAAAAGTTGGCTTTTTAACTCAGTCTGACAAATATCTTTTTTTCTCTCAAGTTCATTCAGATTTGTACTTTAAATGATAATAATAATCCAATTATTATTTCTAATTCTAGTTGTATGTCTCTCTTTTGAAGATAATTTAGTCAAATACGCAAAAAAAAAAAGGGAAATATTTTAAATACCATTTGAGCCTAGCCATCCTTTCAAATCCAAGCACTTAGGACAATCTACTCAGAAAATTGTGTACCTGACTACTGTGCCTACTCTGCTCACACCACCTGGATTTACATTTTTCTAAAGCTTGCTCCTTTGTTTTCCTTCAACACATTAGATTTCCCATGTTGGTAGTGAATTGAGGGCCAGAGATTTGCAGGGCATTTTCTGCAATTTGTGCTCATTTCTCAGAGACATCTGGTAAATATCCCCCCTGTCTGCTGTGAAATGAACCTAGAAAGATATCTTGAAACTCAATACTAGTTATGAATGTGAGCAAATGCTGCTTCACTCAGTGCTGTAATGTGTTTTACCTTTGGTATTAGTCTAAGGTACATACTGTCTTATCCTATTTACTGCTATTTGGCATATTTATCTTGGGTCACCAGGAAAGCAGAGATGAGGGCTTTTATGAACACTAATCATGTCCGTCCACATAGGATAATGTAACTGTATAGTCAGATTTCTCAATTTTGAAACAAGGTAATTTTCAAAAGAATATAAACATCATTGTATCATTCCATTTTGGAAATGGATTAATTTCAAAATCCTAATTTTCTCTATTCAGAATACATATCCTACAGTGTCATAAATTATTGTCTTGGTTATTTCCTATCACCTGAGATAGTCTCAGTCACATTTATAATGTTTGCAGAGTAGCAATTCTACCTGAGCAGCATGATAATGCAGAGTTTGTGATGATACAAAACCAAATCCCTCTAGATTGTCCCTTTGGGGAAGAGTCAGTCATCTTTTTTATTTCATGCTTCACAAATTATTTTTCAAAATAGACTTCTCAGCTAAAATGCAATTGATTTAAATATTTGAGAGAAAATGTTTCCATTAGAAAGAATCTGATTTTAAGTAATCAAATGTATAAGGGCTGATGAAAGCAAGGGCAGAGTTTGCATAGCAGTTAGAGAAAATAGAGACTCCTAATTTTGGGGGTGAGGAAAAAGAGAAATAAGAATAGTCGTGTAATGCCCTTGTTGCCTTGGAAGGTCAAGAGTAAAAGCACTTTACTCCTAGAGGAGTAAAAAGATTGGGAGGAGGAGAGGATTGAGGAAAGATGGCCACTGACTAGAAACTGCCCAGGATCTAGGACTGAAATCAAGAAAACTGTTTTACTGTTGGCCTTAGCTTATCTTGAAATAAGGCAATCAGATGATAGAGGACAATTTCCAGTTTGAGGGGTTAACACTTAGCCATTTCTTCAGTTGTCTTCCTTTCTAGTTTGGAAAATGTAGCATTCTAGAATTCTCTACAGTTACATTGTTAAGAAGAGGTGAACTTGTCAACAGAGATGAAGTCCAGTAAAATAGTCCTGAGTGTAAATTGCCTATATCCCAAGCCATCAAGTGCTTAGCCTTACAGAATGCACTTACTCTTAAGAAAAGGAATGTGAGAGACCTAATGACCTAGTACAGATGAGTTTGAGCCTCAATAGCCCTTGATTCACAGAGTGTCTGCCTCCCAAGAACTAGGTAAAGGAAATAAATGCAATTTAAGACAAGTAGAGCACCTTCTTCTTCGCTGATGGTTACACCCGCTAGTTTGCATTTGTCCGCACATTGTTCTCCAGGCTGGCTATCTGCAGATAGGTGGCATTCAATGCAGCTCCTGCAGACAGGATTCAACAGTTTACAGTTCATGTTGGTGGAAAATAGATTTGCAGCTGAAATATTACTTTGCTGCTGTTGCTGCAACTTGTGCTATAGAAGTGTCTCCTAGATGACATTGACTTTTTGTTACTTTCAGGAAGAAAGGTGATGCCACGAGGACACTGGATTATTCCAAATTCCACTTAGTAATCCACATTCCCTGAATCAGTCTTGATAACAGGTAATATATTCACTTTAAGTATAGTATAGTGATTGCTTCTGATTGGTTAGGAAAAAATTATTTTTGCGTTTGATTTAGCTATTCTTTCATTTCACTTTTTCCTAGGGAGAGATTGTTATGCTATGCTCACAAATGTTATTAGAGATTGGTCAAAATTTTGAATTTCTTAACAGAAATGAGATATATCTCAACCAGAATTCCCAGAATAATTAATGGCCTTCATACACGTCATATGTGATTATTTTAAAAATTCACTTTTCTGTTAGTCTTTTGAGTAAGCCCAAGAGTTCATAGGAGTATTTTTTAAAGCTTAGGATTTGAGCCTGTGTCCTCATTAATTCAGGCTTTTTAATAAAAGATTTATACTTACAGAAAAATGTATTTCCTGGAACATAAGGAAATTAAGATATGTTAAAGTAGAGAGCAAAGTAAAATTTAGACCCTGAGTTAATTTTGTACTGCAGATAACTTTGCAAATGGACTGTGTTGGATTAAGCCAAAACAGCACAAGCTTTCTTACTGTGCGCGCTGACAGTGTGCTACCTCTTTCTCCCAGGGGACCATGGAAACATGTACTCTTCTAAGTGCTTGAACACACCCCACTCATGCTTCATCAAGTCTCAGCTGAAGCTGCACTTCCTTAGGCAAACCTTCCCTGACTCTCAAGGATGGATTGTTCCCTTGCCATGGCAGCCACAGAATTTCTCTGCAGGAAGGGCTTGGGAGCAGCAACCTATGCTGAAATAGGAATAGAGGCCTTGATGTGAAGTTTCCTTTGCTTTGCAAATATATTGCATTTATCTAAATTATATATTTTATGGAGCAGTTTGGTGGGGGCCTAGTGGAGATTGTGGAAACCCTTAAAAACTCCTTAATATGTTTCACTGATGACTACAATGGTAGGTTTGTGGCCCTATCTGCTGCCATATAGTTGCATAGCATTATTTTCATCCCCTTTTGATTGTGGCAGCCCGAATACTATTTTAGTTATTTTAAAAAACATTGAACTTTCCCATTAGATTCTCAGTACCTGTGAAGGTAGGAACCTATTGCTGTTTCAGCCTTCACTGCAAGCCCACAGTCTAATACCATGAAAATACCTATCTGATAAGTGAATACATCACAGATAAATGGAGGAATGGACTCACCTTAAAACGAATTCATATTAAGGAGAGCTGTCTGATTCTCAAATTTTAATTACTTTGACTTAATTTTTATACCTTACAAATCAGATTTAAGACTGAATCATGTTTGCAGACAAGATGAAATAGAAAAGTAATAAAGGCAATATCCTGAAGAGAAACTTTACATTTGATTCTATACAAATAATTCTGATCACGTCCCCACACTTCTAGCCTAAGTCTTAGTTTGCCAGGCACAGTGACAGATAAGTTTTGACAGCTGAATGGTGAGTAACCACTGAATGAAAAATTGATTTTGTCTTTCTGTTTACATCAGAAATGTAAATGTCGCCATTTTGAGTATCAGGGTTGATGAAAATATGAACGGCTTAAGTTTTTGATGCCTTTTATGCACTGCAATATCATAGCAGTCATCTTAGCTACTTGCTTCATTTGACCTACACATTTTGCCCCAGTTCCATGAGGATGTTAGCTGCTAACCAAACAAATAGTTTTCTTTCTAGTAAATAAGAAAATGTGGGGGTTTTGGACAATATTATTGTTCTCATGATCTAAAAAATACAATACACAATACATGTGTATTATAACAACCACAAAAGGCATCAAAGACCACAGGGTGATAAAGAGGAAGAGAACTGAACAGTAAGATCATCATTCTGCCTCTGCTTCCACCAGTCTATGGATAGAAATGTATGGGAAGGTTAGGCCATATACTTCTAGATAAGAAAGAGGCTTGTCTGTTTCCCCTGAAAAGGCACTGACTGCATGGTGGGTGTCAGCAGAATAGCTCCAGGACCTTCCTTCTATGTGGCTGCTATTGTAACCTTCAGGCCATCTGATGTTATCAGTGTGGGACATCAGCTGCACTTTCCCAGGCCGTCCCTGGCAGAAATGTGACATTGTGATTTTGGAGAAACAGGACTGAGAAACAGGCAAAAGGGAGACTGACGTTCCAGCCCAAGGATCACAGGGCCCTGATGGGGTCTGTGTGTTTTCACAGATGCCTGGAGACTGAACCCAGCAAAGACAATCTGCGGTCTGAGTTTACAAAATGTCATTAGAAGTCTGATTCCCAGAAAACCTATCCACAAAAGGGACTAAAGAGACTAAAGAGAGAGGGAACATTACCGTTTAGAGTTACAGGGGTCACTGCAGGTAGGACATCGTTCACAAGTGGCTCCAGAGGCTCCAGGGTCTGTGCAGACACACTCGCCACAGTTGCAGTCCCCTCGCCCACTGCAGAGCAAGCCATCTTCGGAGATGCACGCATCTGTGCTGCTGGTGCAGTTGCAGTACTCACCGGTCCAGCCACTCCTGCACACGCACTCGCCACACTCACAGTCGCCGTTATCTGTAAAACACATGCTCAAGGCTGCCCAAGGCCAAAACCACCTGCAGGTTTTGTAGGAGTGGGGGCATCTTTTCTCTTTGCTTTAAAACATCAGCAAAAAAGACGGGAGAAAAATAAGAAAAAAAAAAGTGTGTGCGTGTGTGTGTGTGTGTGTGTGTGTGTGTGTAGAAGGCCTGAGTGCAGATACATTTTATTGAATGTGTTTTGGTAACTGCATATATTTACTGATTGGTCTCCAAAATGAAGATGCACTTGATTACCTGATGTTCTAGCAAACAGATTTAATAAGCAGATGAAGTGAGATAATCCAGATAAGCCCATATTGGTTAAGTAGTTGCTTGGTGAGTGAGTGTGTGTTTGTAGTGTATCTGGTTTTAATGACTATGTCATAGAATACAAAAGGGTGTAGTCCATGTTAATAACCACTCTGCTAGATCCCTCAAGATGAATGATCATGAAAGCCTCATCTATAAAACAAGGAACACAATCTACTTCCAATAGTTATGATCAGGGGAGATAATGTACATAAATCTCCTATTTTTGCATTCACCAATTATTTGTCCCAAAGGCATACAGTGAGTACTCAATAGTCATTATTTAACAAACTTTAATTGAGCATATACTATATGCCAAAGATTATATTAGCCATGAAGATACAGAATTAAGTCAGACAAGGTCAACGAACTTATAATCTAGTATAGAAGAATGACAAATGAATATGATTCCTACTAAAAATAATACAGTGTGATAAGTCTGTGTATATAGGGGGAAAGCTTCCAAATTACACTGGAGATCTGGGAAAGTTTCCAGTGGAAGTGATGCTTGGGTTGAATTTGGAAGACAAAGATAGTAGAGAGAAGAAGAGGGTTATGTGTATTTCAGGCACAGAAAAAAGACACAGGCAAATGGTGGAAGTACAGAATCATGTGATCTGCTTAAATAATGGGATCTGCTTAGTTTCACATGGATAGAGATCCAATGGGGTGTGGTAGTTGGGAAGGATGGAAAAGTCAACAAAATGGCAGAAGTCAGGTCATGAGAAGTGTGGTGGGCTTTAAGAACTTTTTTTTCCTGAAGGCTTTGGAATTTTAAGTAGGAGATGGGCCTGGACAGATGGATATGTGTCTAGAAATATTCTGGCATCAGTAGAGAGATAACACTAGAGACAGGGAAACCAGTTGAGAGGTCTTTCAAAGGTAGGGGCCTGAACCACCACTGAGACATCAGTGGGAAAGGAAAAATGACACACAATTCAGGGATGGAGTGCTCAGGGCTTGGTGTGAGGGGTGCAAGGTGCAGAGTGAGGGCAGAAAGGTAGGGATGGAATCCTCTCCAGTACCAGGCTTTCCACTGGCCTGGAATAAAGCCAGCTCATGATCATTGCCATACACTCAATGCCTGTAGTGCTCAATTTTTGAGTGAATAAATGGTTCTGAAACAGAAGAGGAAATTATCTTTGGTTATGGCACTGTTTTGTTGTTGTTGTTGGTTTGGCGGTACCAGGGATCGAACTCAGGACCTTGAGCTTGCCAGGCAGGCACAGCACCACTGAGCTACATCCCCAGCCCTTATCTTTGGTTATGGAAGACAGTGAATTCACTTTTGTCTCTCCTAGTTGACATCTGAGGTGGTTGAATATCTCTGGATGAGCCTGAAGTTTGGGGTTTGGATCCATCAGGAAACAGTGATGGTGGATCAGGTCATCCAGGGAAAGCAGGTAAAGAGAGACAAGCTCTGAAGAGTATCAGTGTTTAAAACATGGTCAGAGAAAAGTATTCTCCTGAGAGAGACTGAGAGGCAGAGGGTAACGACAGTGACACTGCAGAAGCCTGGGCCGAACACAGCTTGAGCAAGGAGGCACCTGGACACTTGCTGTGGATCAGCAGCTCATCTAATGCTGGAAAGCCCTTTCTGGATCTGGGTGCATAATAGAGAACATGACATACTCAAATGATAAGATGTTTAGGTGGGTGAGTTTTTGATCCTTTCTTTGTTCCTACTTTTGTTTGCCTGCCATGTTCAAGATACTAAAACAGGCATTTGATGTTCCAAACAAATAACATTCATTTACAAATTCTCACAAGTGATACTTTTCTTCAGAAAAAAATGTGCATCTAAGCACTTTGCACCAAAATTTTTGTTTTTCCAGAAAAACTGAGGATCATCTACTACAGTCTATAATAGTGCTTATAACAATGGACAAGTGCTTTCCCATGACCTGGCATGTTTTGAGTTTCCCCAGGTCAGTCTCACAATATGTAGATGATATACTGGTATGTGCCCACTCAGAAGAAGTCTCTAGCCAAGATACCAGTGCTCTGCTAAATTTTCTAACAGAGCAGATTATAAGGTTTTTAGATCTAAAGCACAACTTTGTAGCCTTGAGGTAAAATTAACGAGACAAGCTGTCCTTCAGAATCGAATGGCGCTAGATATTTTAACAGCAGTACAAGGAGGTACCTGTGCAAATATAAAAGGTGAATGTTGTGTATACATTCCTGATACTTCTGCTAATATCTCCATGGCTGTTCAAGATATTAAACAACAGGTTAAGGCCATGTCAGATTCTGAGATTCCCTGGGACTTCTCCTTATCCTCTCTGTGGAAGGCTATTACTAGCTCTTCCTGGTGGAAACATCTGTTGGCTATACTCATAATATTCCTGTTGATCTTATTGTTTGGCTCATGTATACTTAACTGTCTTTCTGGCCTTGTCTCCTCCAGACTTAAAGCTATACACCTACCCATGATGGAAATGTGTGATGCCTATCGAGGACCTTTAGATAGACCTTTTGAAGGGTATCCCTGACTGCCAACCACAACTACAACCCCCTTCAACCTGAAGTAGTTAGAGCGGTCATCGCCCCTTGCCCCTCATGGCAGTTTTGGATACTTCTTCAGAGGGGGAATTATTATAGATAGATGAGCTAGGTAGAAATATTATAGGCAGTCAGATAGGGCTAAGTTCTTGAGAGGGCCAGGACAAAGGTGAAACAAACCACAGCTCCACATCAGCTGAAAACCAGGCCTCAAGATGGAGACAGGACGACCAGATCCACATACCTCTTCAGAGAACTGGGCTTAGTGAAGTATAGATAGGCATCAACCACCCTGGGAGTGACCAGAGACCTCTGGACCCACTGCCCCCTAGGAGAATCCTTGTTCTTTCATCCACGCTTGTTATGTGACTTGCTTCCCAATTGGACCACCGTTACCTAAGTGACTATACTTGTAACCTTATTGGATGTTCATGGCTGTGGCCCACGTTGTACCCATGTGAGTTTCATCCTATAAGACTTCTCTGTAAAGTGGGGTCCTTGGGCTACCTACTTGGGACCCCTCCTGCCCCTCAGGAGCTTTCCTATCAATAAATATCTTCCTACTTAAAAAACAAAACAAAACAAAAAACAATGCCTGGCCCATAACTCTGCACTACATAAGTACTGGTTATTAGCATTATTCTTCAAAACAACTAATAAGAAGAATTTATAAGCAAAATCATTCATCAGTATTAAAATCCCTATACTTTTACTGAAAAGAAAGTGGATGTAAAACAAAATAACAAGTGATTCATTTTTTCACTTGTAGGATGAAGGATTCTGGGTTTTCTCTTGTAAACTTTGGTCTAGTTAAGCTAGTTCCTTTTCTGTCTTCATGAGTGGGCCTAAAGAACTAAGAGTAGCAGCGTCCTTGCCTTAATGCTCTGCACGGACAAAATCACTGAAAAAAATAATCACAAAAGTTTCAAAATTGGATTCTGATTGCTCCTGGTGTGTGTGTGTGTGTGTGTGTGTGTGTGTGTGTGTGTGTGTGTGTGTGTGTGTGTGTGTGTAAAACTGAGTATGTACATGTGGGTACATGTTTATACATTTTTCTATATATATATATATATATATACATACACTATGTACATAAACTAAAAGCACATACTTCTCTAATGAAAGTTGAAATAAAATTTATCTAGATCTGTGAAGTTAAAACATACTCCAATTCCATTTCATTACTTATTTAATTCATAATTGAACTAATTAATTCAAAACTAAGAATAGTTAAGTAATTTGGGCCAAAATTTCTATAGATAAGTGATCTTAAAAGCTATAATATCTTTTCATTTCTTCCCAGCAAATGGACTTACATTCATGACAGGAAGACATTTTTAAACTAATATATTCTGAAAAATTAATATGATCTATAAATATTATTAAATGAAATATTCATCTCCAAATGAGAATGCCTGGGGGTACCATTGCCTGTAAGAATTACTTGGCGGAAATTCAGAAAACTCTTCCTAGAGCATTAAAAAAGGAGCATCACAATAAAAACACAAAATGCTCCTTTCAGAATTTAGAAACCCTAATCTTTGATGGCCTTGGAACCAGCAACCTGGTCTCCAAAGTTGCTAATTGATATCCTCAAGCAGCCAACTGTCTAAGTATCTGTTCATACAACAACAGAAACAACAACAGCAACACGTTTTTACTAGTCACATGTAGAGGCAAGATGATAACAAAGAAGTTGTTACCAAGCTCTTTTCAGGTGGATAGATCTTTTTGGAAGTCATGACAAATAACTGTAAGTGCATAATGGCAGGAAGTTAGTTCTCTAATGCCATTTGCCTGTTACTGTCTCCAGTCTCTTAAAATCAAAATATAAGACACTAATGGAATTTGGTCAAGAAAAAAAAATCAATGGAGCCCTCTATCTCTGAGTATTATAGATGGATGAAAGAAGTTGCATGAAAAAGAACATTGTGATAATAGCCCTTCAGAAAGCAGCACATTGCCAAGCACATTAGTTGTAAAATAAATGAGATAACACAAGTTGTGAAGCTGTGGCTTATTTGGTCTGCTTTGAAAATCACAGCAGCAGCAGCATCTGTTTGGCAGTGCTAGGCACAGTTTTTATCCCTACATCAAGCACAAACCCAGGCACATAGCAGATACTCCACAAATATTTGTTGAATTTGAGTAATTGTGTTTACTTTTACTAACCTTAGAAAGGAGATAAATTATAAAATAACATCTTTTGTGGTGTTACTGAAAAACAAAATAGGAGAAAGAGCAGTGGTTGAAGATCATAAAGTACTCTACAGTATGAAGGAAACTGGCACTGGTGAAATTTTCTAAGTCCAGCTGAAGAAATCATTGTGTTTTCTAAATAGAATTTCTGTATCTGATTTTAAAAAGAGGTGCTTTTGGCAGGACTTCCTATCTACAGAACACAGATCAAGTCAGCTCTTTCTGAGTTTATTTCTGTTCCCTCTGCATACAAATCCAATGAAAGACAATCAAGAAATGTGTGTTGCTGGGCACAGTTGAGTGATTTCCCCTTCCTGGATCACTCTGATCAGGGATGTAAAGGGTGAAATACAGATGGAGTTAGTGTCACTATTAGAGTAGGGTGCATGCCAGATTTTTAAATAGAGTAAAGTCAAATTTTTGAGCATGTATGTTTAAAAAGACTTGCATTAGAAATGCAGTGTGAGATTCTACCAAATATATTTTTTCTGTGATGTGGAGATGGCCTTTGGCTGACTTCTTGCCACCTTCAGTTTGTGTCCTGTCAGCATCCCATGGTGAAAGAACTGATACAGGTTTAGAAAGCCACTGTGCAATCAGGAAATAAACCTTTGAATGAAAGAGGAGAGAAATGGGTCTGAACTGGAACAAATCCAAAATGTTTACTCCTTGTTGGGGGTGGGGGTGGGAAGGCAGATTTTTCTCAGAAGAATCTGTTGGTTGTCACAGCAGCAGTGAAGAAATGAAAGTAGTAGGCTCGTAAGGGTATCAAATGGCTTTCAAAAAGCTTGGGGTTCTTTGAGGCTTCTTCATTTCAGGCTTTTCCCCTCTTGGAAATTAGTCTCTTTTATATGTTCCTGACACTGTGGCTTGGAAATATAACTTGCTTAGTTTTCTATAAAGATAATGGCTTTCTGTTTTGAAGAGCTGTCTGCTTACACGCTGTGAGAAACCAAGACATTAGATCTTAAATGCAGCAGCCAGTTAGTATTTCAATTGTAGTACAAATTTATATAATTTAAAAATATATTAACATATTTATAACTCTTGTCTGAGTAGATTACACTTAACTACATGTGTATATATGTTGGAATGATTTATAACAGTCTTGTTATATGTAATGAGAGATTTTGCATGTATAAATATTTTTATTTTAAACTTTTCTCAAATGTATCAAGAAACTGGAAGCAGTTTTCTGTTTTTATTCTTTCCGTAGGCTTTCTCACATGTGTTTCTTACCCATCTTTTCTAGACTCACAACTAAACCTAGTATTTGTCATAAGGTAGGTGTTTAATAAATATTTGTGGCATAAGTAAAGGTCATGAAAGTCCGCTTAGTATTTCTGTGCTCCTTGTCCTGAGCAGCATGCTTTTATTTTTTAGCAGTTTGATTTTGTATTTTTTCAAAGTAGTAGGCATTTAAGAGTTGAATCAGATTTAGAAGCTTGATCCAGAAAAGTCTGGAAGATGATGAAGTTCAGAATACAGGTTTTATATAGTGGGGTGATAACTAGAGAGAAGGCATTTCCATCTTTTACCTACTTGATCTCAGGGAAATAATAATAGAAATCTAAGTTCAGCTGGCAGATATCTCACCCCAAGTGAATACTAAAGCCAGAAAAAACTCAAGAAAAAGATTCACTTATCCCAAGTTTAGACTTAGTATAACCCACTGAGTTGATCAGCAAGTATTTACTGAGTACCTACTACGCCCAAGGAAAAGAAGAAAGGAGCAAAAGATGAAAAGCTGCTTCCTGATATTCTAACAGCTGTAGTGTAAGATGGAGTTAGATGTAGCCTACCTCCACAGAGCAGCCCTTTGTGTCTCACACAGGAGAAATTGTCACACTGGCAGTAAGGTCCGTAAACACTTCCGTAGGGAGACAAGTGGCAGATGCACTGCCCACAGTAGCAGTCACCCCTTCCACTGCATGAGGGACGGTCGGGGGCCTCCTTGCAGGAATCTGTGCTCAGCATGTCCTCGCCACACTCGCAGTGAGGGCCCATGTGGCCCGGGTTACAGGTGCACACACCACACTGGAAGGAGCCGTTCCCATCGTGGCATTTGGAGCTGTTCACTTCCACTTCTTTCTGACAGTCACAGCTGCATTCTGGGCTGATGAGGAGATCCAGGGTGTCCCCCAGCCCCACAGGCTTTATGATAATGTGCCTGCCTTTTCTCTCACAGTTTGGTATACTCACAGTCACATTGAATGAAGCCTGGAAAAGAAAATACTCATTATCTGCTTCCTCCATTCACCAACCTGCAGGAGGCGAAACAGGGCTGTGGGGAAATAAGCATTGCTAAAAACAAGTGTATAAGGAAGTCTCTGCAATTCTTGGAAGAAATCCAATTTCAATGAGCTAAGCTAATTGCTACCCATCCAAATATGCTTCAGCCAGTCTACTGGCCACCTACTTACGGTTTCTCCCACTTTCATGTGCAAGCATTTCTTTTGGTGTGGGAAGAGGGTACCATTGCTACAGACAGCTGTGAAGGAGAGGTTGAGTCCCTCTGTGTCTCCTAATACTTCCAGCTCCACCTCAGACCGCAGTTCCTTTAGTGAAGACAAGAAGAGTAAAATGAAGTCACAACTGAAAAATTAGGGCCAGAAGAAAAAACTGTGAATCATGTTCATTAAACTACATATGAATAAAATTAAACTGGGTCTAAAAGAAATTCTCCATATCATTAAGCAAGAAGACAATGTGTGTGCATGTGTGTATCATATTTTATCTAATCTAAGACCTTAATTATAAGATACACTATTTTAATAATTAACCTGTGATGAAATACCTAGAGTGATTTGGCACGATACTGTATATGATAGACATTAGCCTGTCTTTCCTCTGAAATGCATTTCATCATTCTAAAGAATTTGGCAAATTCTCCTACCTTGAGTTGCACAGTTCAGCCTATAAAGGCAATTCTTTTGCTTATGTATTGCTAACATAATATAATAATAGCTTTCTTTACTTGTATGCGTCATTATTTCCTAGGTCCCATAAAGCAGCTGGTTGTTGCTTTTTAAAGAATACAGAATTGCAGACATTCCTCTAAGGATGAATATTTGCTTCACTGATATCAAATTTACACCCTGCTGCTCTGTTTTGGTACATTTCTGCATACATAATAACTTTTCATCTCAATGTCGAGTCATAGTGCAAACTTTCTGAAGATATTTTAAAATGGCAATTAAACTTAGCACTTCTAGGAGCCACAATGCATTTAAAAAGTTGAAATGATGATGATCACAATTGTCAATGAAAACTCCATCCTGATTGCTGCCTGGCACACAGTGGTTGTAAGATACCATTAATTACAAGATGGATCCAAATTTTAGAGGTGTTAAAATGTAGGGGGAAACTGTGCCTTCAAATCATTATTGGAATTAATTGAGTACCTATTGCATATTAAATGTGGGGTCAGGTCTGGGAAAAGACCAAATTTCTGCTCTCAAACTTATCATCCTATTTTTTCTATTTCCTTTTTACTTATATCATAAAAGTCTGTATTTTGGGGAAGAAAACCAAATTATAAAAAATCCAACTAGAATAGGGTAAGGGATGTAGCTCAGTGGTAGAGAGCTTGCCTAGCATAAATGGCCTGGGCTCACTCCTCCATACAAAAGAATAAAAATAAATTTGAAAATATTATGAATTAAGTTATTGTTCAAATCACTTAAAAGGCTTTGAGTCCATGCACCAATTTCATTTTTGACATTTTAAAAAGCATATTCAGCTTCAAATTTTCCTGAACTATAATTTTGCCAGCTGCATAGTATGACGACCCTTCCTTCTCTAAATTCTGCTTCTCCTGAAATCATCAAGAATTAAGACAGAAGTATGTTGGAGAAGTGGCAGGAATGAGTCAGTAGCAAAATGAGAAATGAGGGATGTGTCTGCAGGTGACAGCAATAATGAGGGCAGTGGGTGACATAATCTAACCTAAATGAAGGCAATCTCAGCATTGCTATAATTGAATATCATATTGCAAATTTAACCAGGAATATTTTAATACAAATTTCCCAGGGAAAGGACATCAATGTTAACTTCTATTTTTCATTACTTCATTAATTTATTTATGGAGCATCTCGTATGAGTCAGGGAAAGAAAACAAACCAGATGGATTTTTTTCTTGTAGTTTAAATCCTAGTGGAAGAGTTTAGCCTTGGGTTCATTGATATTTCTAGTAACATTTATTTATTTGTCTTAAGTCATTTTTTTATTCATTAAGTTTATTGGTACATTTTAGATATGCATTATGATCACATTCATCACTGGGAATTTGTACTTGTGTATGCTATATCTTGGTTCCTATTTTTTCCCATTCCCCTTCCCTCCCTTCAACCCCTCCACCTCTCCCTATTTACATAAGCTTTGTTTCCATTTTTTCTTCTTTTTTCATTTTTTCCCTTCTTTCCTCCCTAACTCTTAGTTCCTCTTCCCCTTTGAACATTTTCTTCCTATTTCACAATATCTATTATATATTTTGGTCCTCATTTACACTTTCAGTTTCTCACACCAGAAAAGCAACTCCATATTTACACATGTGTGTCCTATTTATTTCACTTAAGAGTATGGCCTCTCTATCCATCCATAAATGTCTCTAGTTTGTCTTTCTTTATGGCTGAGTAGTACTCCATATATATATATATATTTTTTTTAAACCCCACATCTACTTTATCCAATCACCAGTTGATGGGCATTTGGGATGTTTCCAAGATTTAGCCATTACAAATTGTGCCGCTATAAACATAGGTACTCATATATTGCTGTGGTATGATATTTTTAATTCTTTCGAGAACATGCCCGAAAGTGGAATAGCTCTAATGATAGTTTTCTGAGGAATTTCCACACTGATTTCCACAGTGGTTACACCAGTCTACCCTCTCACCAAGTGTGGAGAAGGTCTAGTAGTTTTTATTATATGGTTATAGGAGGAATTTAGTGACAGATGGTCAGATGAGTACACATCCATTACTTAAAATTTTTATATCAAGAATTAATAATCAACATGGCACTGTAAAATACTCAGCTGATGTTTGTAGCCACAAATTGTAAACACAAATTTCCTCTGTTCTACTAGAAGTCAATCAGAAGTATTTTATGTGTTCTCTCCATATATTCTCTTTCCTTCCATCCCTTTTTTTTAATTCCAAAGAAAAAAGTCAATCTCCAGGTCCCTATATTTTAAAGTCTTTTAATACATTTAAAAATAACAAGAGTATAATCACTGATTTGAATCAGTGCTATACCGTACTGCATAATTTACCCTGTGAATCATAAAGTTGCAGTAATAACTCCAGAGAAAAACTGTTTAGTAGAAAAATAATAGATGCTTCTTGATACTTTTAAGACAGTAAAACAAGGACACAAGATGTATTTCAAATGTTTAATGTCTTGATTTCAATTGCCCCGTAAGTTATGTGAATTATTTGGGACCATAAAGTGAGATGGAACCTTTGACAGGGCTAGCAGGGTCATGGATGAAGCTGTCAGACTGCAGGGAGGAAAAATTTTTGACAATCACTATTTTCTGATTTGTCTGATTTCTTTAGATGTTAGTAGCCAACACTGTTAAGAGTATTGCTATAAAAACATGGAATGTGTTATAATTCAGTGAAGGCTTGCTTTGTGATTTTATTTGATTCTACGCACTAAAACTTTAATGCACAAGAAGGAAGGTTTTGTTTAAACAATGTTTTGTTGACAAGTTTTCCTGCCTGGAAGAATTTCAAGTCTGAGCTAATGTGGTGATTAATTTTTTGAAGTGAAGTAAGCAAACTGAAATTTCTAAGGATTATCAGTGAGAAAAACCCTGTCCTCTTATTTTGATGGATACATCTGTATTTCGTTCTTTGAGTAAATGAAGTATTTGAGAAGAAATATCTTGCTTTTCCTTCTTCAGGTGAATTTCAGAATTGGTAGGGTGATGTCAAAACCACAGGGGAGGTTTTTATCCAAAGTGTGTAGCTTTCCATTCCCTTAAACTTCTCCAGAGATGTATGTGAAAGGAATCCAAGCACATCTTTTTAAAGAGTTTCCCAGATGCTTCCGGTAAGTCATTTATTTAAAGGTCACTAGTGCAGTCTATGCTAAGTACATGCTAAGTATGACTGCATGTGAGTCACTGATTTGCAATTTTCAAACATTACAAATTAGGACAATTTTACTCATTCGTCATTATGTAAATGCTGTTTAGAGCGAATTCTGGAGCTTTACTGCTCTCTAAAAATTTACTTTTTTTCATTCCTGTCCCAATTTCCTAATTTAGAGCTACATCTACATCTTTGTGTGGTATTTTTTTGTAAGTAAAGTCAAGAAAGGAGAATGACATTTAGGAACCAAAATACAGAAGAGTTGGCAAATGGCTATCCATTTTTGTCTAATGGAGTTAGGAAATGGGGACAAAAAAATAATAATTCTGTAGGTATGTATCTTAATTTAAGGGAGGAATTCTGTCCTTAGTCCTAATTCATGAAGTCAAGGCCAAAAATTACATAGGTACTCATTAAACAAATGGAAATTTTCCTGGTCCCCTAAAGTAGAGAATCTAAAACGTGGTGTGCTTGGTGTTATGATCTCATCTCATTAAACCTATGGGATTGGTTCTTCACATAATTCTGTTACTCTCTGGCAATTTACACTGAATTCTTTTTCAGACAGAGGAGAACTTAATTGTATGACTCATGGAGTCTCTTCAGTCAAATTAAAATTTTGCTGGCGACAGCGCTGCTGTTTGAACTCTAGGATCAGGCTTTTGACTTTTTACCTGCTGCTCCACCTTTCAGGAAGAAGATCTGCAAATGAAGTAAATAACATTTATATTTTGGCTACATTAATGCAGAGAGATTGTCTTTAGATAAGCACTGTTTCTACCAACAAACAAGAGGGCATATCTGCGAAAAAGAAGTCAACTTTCCGTAAAGTAAAGTATCATACATCATAAGCTGAGATGATCAGCTGGAGAATGTTTCCAGAGTCCTTGTGAAGTAGACCGACTGTGGTTCCAGGAATAAGTTTTGCATAATTCTGTAAACAAACAAACAAGACTGAGTCAATCTTTGCTCCCAGTAATGGAGAAATGTTAAATGTGGAGTTTAGCTTACTGGTTATGAGCCTTTATTTAACTCGCTGGGGGAAACAGGCTCCTGATAATAAATGGAGGTTTCCCTGATAGTGCAGCACCTACATCATGCTGCTTACTGAACTCAAGTGGGAAATGGATTGGCCAGAATTGCTTTGGGGAAATCTAGGATTTGTGGTTGGCTTAGTCTAGGACTGTGACTTATATCATGACAGGATTCATGTCTCAAATGATAACACTTAACTAATGTCTTCCATTCCTAGAGCACTGTTTGTCCAAAAACTTCTGAGTACGAATTTAGGAAATTCTTTCTCTTTTTGTTAACATTGCAGAGACCAAGGTTTGGCACTGAAAAAATTGAGTTGTTCTGTAAGTCATTTGGTTTGGTGGTCTTAGTGAAAGATCGCTTGGTGGACAAATGGAATGTACTATTGGACAGCTGCTGTTAACTCTCCCTTTTCAACTACTGGTAATGAGCTCTCCTTTAGAGGTATCAGCGTAGTCCAGGGTTCGATTAGAATTGTTCCCACCACATCATGATCATGTGAGTCAGAACATAGTTCTAACTGGTCTGTGTATGCTGCTTATGCTGCTTCCTTCCTCTGAGAACACACAGTGCCAGTTCATCACCACCCAGGTATCAAGCCTGGCCAGGGGAGGAAGCGAATTTTCCAGACAGCTGCATTTTACTTCTCTCTTACGTTTTATGTTTTAAAAGTTTATTTCCAAATGAAAAGCTTTCCAAAGTGTGTGATACACACTGTTGTAAAGGCTCATAAGAATGTACCAACTGATTTTTAAAGGAACAGAGTTATACTAATCATTATTAACTATCATTCTGTATGCATCAAAGACTTTCACAACCTATGAAGAGGTTGCAACTACACCATGTAAGCTCTGGTTGCTGTTTTGTTTCTTGTCTTTGTTTTATTTTTTTTATTTTTTTTATTTTTTAGTACCGGAGATCGAACTGGAGTCCTTGTGCTTGCGAGGCAAGCGGCGGAACCACTGAGCTAAATCCCTGGCCCTCTTGTCTTTGTTTTAAAATAAATTCTACCTTCTCCTTGTTAAACTCTTGGTATCATTAGCTGACTCATTTACTAATTTATTTGACGAAACAACATCTACTCAGTAAGCTAGTGTCACGTAAGTGTCATTAGTGTCATTAGTGCTAGTAATTCTGTATCACATAGATAACACTCTTTCTATCAGCTGTGGTCTTCTATGTTACTGTGTGTAATGAAATCAGAAGAATGAATTATTGAACTTGTATGCAGAAAAGAGTAAGCAAGCTTTGATAGATTTAAGATATCTCATATAGTTCCAACATAATTTAAATATGCTATCTTATTCTAAAGATTTAAGTGGTTTAGAAAGTGCACAAAAATGGAATTAGAATTAATAATTATCTGTAATTATGATAGCGATAATAAGTCCATAAGCCAGACAACAGGGATGAATGAGAGAAACAAATGGAGGCAGGGTGATGTTAGAACACAAAGGCAGGTGGGAAGTCCTGGGTACTTGCTAGATGTGAGTGTCTGTGTAAGTCCAAGCTATTTTACATGTATGGGGGAAAATGGGCTTTGGTTTTGATTTGTGGGTTTCCACTTATTTCAGTGTTCCACTTACTTCAGTGTTCACGTCTGAAGTTGTTGGAAATCTGAACTCTAAATAATGTTTCAGATGTGGCTGTGTTTTGACACTTCATTTTAAAATTGAGGGGGCCACAGGCAGTAATCCAGGTAATGTTCTTCACCTTAGTGCATGCCTCACATTACTGCCTGTTGGCGGAGGGCACTCTTCTATTTCCCTGAGTCAGGCAGAACTTGTAAAATACTGAGAAGGCACCGCTTCATCAACTTACCTCTTCAAATAAACACATGTCACAAAAGGCTGTGAAGCATGAGACCTGTGGTTAATAGCAAATGCCTAAATAGGGACTTAAGTTCACTCAAGTGGAGCTGGAATGTGTGTAAATTTGACTGATCCCAAGAGAGAGGCAGAGAGAACCTTTAGAGGTCAACAAAGAAAGGTTTAGATTCTTTGAAAAAAGTTTCAAGGCTCTTAGCTTTGCATGAAAACTGCTATCCCTGAACTCCATCCTGGTATGTCCAAGGAGGCGGGGTCATGGGAATTTTCTGTAAGCACTAGTCCAAGGAGCCTCCAGATTTGGGGTTAATTCTTGGCTAATAAAGCTGAACCCATTGATTTCTTAAAGCATGAGTATGATCCCACGTGTGGTTTGACATTTGCCATTTGCCTATTAGAACAAGTGGGTAACCTTAATGGCATTAGCTGCTTACCAGCAGAGCAAGACTATAAAGAAGGTGGAAGCTAGTAGGAGCAACCAATGATAATGCTGACAATTGTGGAGAGGAAAACTATTAATTAATTTCTGGATCATGATCTCCTCAAAGCATTTCAAATAATTAACTAAAACAAGGGCAATTTGGCTTTGTTAGTGAACACTGTAAAAAATTATACCTTAAATCTGGTATTATTATGATTACTGTAAATATCATATATCAAATGCCTTCTTTCATTAAAGTCCTAAGGTGCTATTATAAATCATCATGAATAAACATGCTTAATGTTAGAAAAAGGGTGATTTTGCATGCCTGGATGTGATGAATTATAGTACTGTGGCTCTGAAAGATGATGCTTGGATATTAGAAATGGTGACTTCTGTAAACATGATGTTGCCTGAGCTGATTAAAAATGCAGGCTCCTATGCTTGGGCTTGAATTCTCTATTATTTTATCTGTCGATTACCCTACTTATAGATTTTCTCCCTTCTTCTCTGCTATGCCAACCAGGAGTTCCACAGGTTGCTCTTCTCAGTCACTCTGATTTTACTCCATCCCCATCTCAAAAAATATTTCTTATGTGTCCTAGAGTTGGCATTTGCTCCCTGAAATTCTCCTCCTTGTCAAGGATACAGAATTAGAGGTGGACAGGAGGCATTTAGTAGACAGACATCAGAGGAGACGGAGGACAGCAACTGACTTCACATCTGCACTCTCTGGGCTCCTGTCACAGAGCATCTCCATGTTCAGCACCACAGGGTCTAATCATCAGAACCAGCTGTCAGGTGTAGACTTTTGGTTGGCTCAGGGCAAAGGAACATGTGGTCAGTCACACTCCTGCTTCCTGGTTACTATGGACAGGCTGTTTGTTGGCTTTCTCTTCAGAGCTTCTGGCTGAGGCCCTTGGCGACCCTCTCATGCTTTTGGTAATGTCTTGGTGTTCTTGCCCCAAAAAGGAGAGCTCCTGACATGACCTCCATTCCTGATTTGACTGCACCTCCTGTTGGATATATCCTCAGAGCCTGGTGACTTCTGGGTCCATGTTTAATATTAACGGTATCTTTGCTGGAGATCTTGTTTGGGGTTCTGCCTCAGATTTGGTGGTGATTCTATCCTGGACCCTTATGTTCCCCTCCAGTGACCTTTTGGATATAGTCTCAAAGACTCCTTACCTTCTTAGAGCTCACTAGCCATCATTTTATAGAGACCACGATACTCATGCCCCTCAGAGCGTGAGGAATCCAAAATCAACTTGCCACATACCATCTAGAAGCATTTTCAAAAAAATCATGTAAAACCAACTAGAGCAACAACCAGCCATGTCTCTTTAGGCTCTGTGCTTACATTTCTCTTTCTATGAAGCCTTACTAACACATTACTACTATCGCTACTTCATTTTATGCTCAGCAATGACATAAGATTAGCATTGCTAGTTTTTAATATATTAGCAACCTGCATCAATGTTTATATTCTTAAATATACTTACTAAATGTTTGTTTATAGCTACACCATAGCTAAATTATGTAAATGACCTATAGTCCATCACCAAATGAATGGATAAAGAGTATGTGGTAAAATGCACAATGACATTATACTCAGCCATAAAGAAGGATAAATTGAAGTCATTTGTTGGAAAATGGATGGATCTTGAGATCATAATGCTAAGTGAAATAAATCAGACCCAGGAGGTTAAATATCACATGGTCTCATTAATATGAGAAACTCAAACTATCAATAATATGAGAGCAAAATAAAGAGAGATGGGAGAAAACAGGGAAGTAGACTTTAAGGATGAGAAGTGATCTGGGAAAGGAGGGAGAGGAAAGGTCAGCAGGGGAGGGGGAGTGAAAATGATGTGTTATGTATGTACCACTTTCTCAATGTGAATGTAATTATTACATATCATAGATATATACTGATAAAAAATACATTCACTAAATGATTGGCTTGTATAAACTGAGAACTCATGATGCTATATAATCTGCTCACTAATATTTCTAATCTTTCAAAGTTTTCTTGTCATTTCTTTGTATCCTTTTGGTCAGTGGCTCTTGTCTGTGCTCTTTCTCTCTGAAACTTCAATGGAAGTATAATACACATATGTTGTGTTCGAGTAGTAAGTATACAATTCGATGAGTATTTAAAAAGTGAACAACCAAGGATAACCTCATGAAGATCAAGCAACCAAACATGTACTGCTTTCCAGTTATTACTCCTCCCCTTATAGCATTATTTTGACTTTCATTGCTATAGAAGTCAGGGGAGACATCTTTATGGCCTCAGGCTTTAAAAAGTTTCTTAAGTAGGACACAAAAAGCATGACTTACAAAGGAAAAGATGGATAAACAGGATTTAAAAGTAATGCAATTCCAATCAAAATACCAGCAATTATTTTGTGGATATCAACAAACTTATTAAAAAGACATGAACTTTGGGACAAGGCAAAAGGCCTAGAATGGCTAACTTAATACTGAAGGAGAAAAACAGAGTTGGGAGACTGATACTACTTGACTTCAAGACTTACTCTAAAGTTACAGGAATCAAGACAATGTGGTTTTGACAAAAAAAAAAAAAAAAAAGACAAAGAGGTCAATGGAACAGAATACAGAGCTTAAAAATAGACTCATAAATAGAAC